ATTGAACACAACATACGCCAAATTGTTTCAAAATTTTTTTTTTAACAGTAAACTTGTTTTACCTTTCTTCCTTTACCAAATGCAACAGAATGTTCCGTCAAGATAACTGGAAATCATTAACTTATAAATATTTATTCATAATTTTTCTGTGCTGAAAAATTTTGTGAAATTCAAACATCAGTCTAGAAAAAGAAATCGGACAAGTCATGAATTATTTTGTTGGTATGATTTGATTGGCAGTACACGGGTGTCTTATAAGAAGTTTACCCGTGATTGTTGGGCGTTTATAGGTCAGATCTCATAGATCACAATCAAAGTACTAATTTTTAGTTGCAAAACATCTACAATTTCTAAATAGTGAACTGTATGTATTTGCTTCTATATCTTCCTGAAGGCTAAATTTTGAATTCTAAGCTTCGTCATATGCATAAAATATTTGATAATAATAAATCGCCTCCATATTGTTTCATCTGAAATAGTTTTTTTTTTTTGCAAATTCACTTATTAATTTCATTCTCCAATTCATTCCGTTATTTTCAAAATGATGGAAAATTATTTTTTCCACTTTTTTTCTTTGTAAATAAAATTTTCTTCGGCAGTAGCCTAAAGAAAGTATATTCTTTTCTCTCATTTTAATTAGAAATGTGAAAAATGATGATATCAACATCTCTGACAATTTCTTTGCAATTCCTTTTTTTCTATACCTGAATTTTCAACAACCACTTACACCTACAACTGCCTGTACACAATCCCTTTCTCTTTTTAACATTTTATGAGTTTTTCCAACAACCTTTTGACATGTTATTTTTTTCTACCCTCTTTTCATGATCATTTCAAAAAAAAATTTTTGTTTTGAATTTTTTCTGCTCATAAAATTGCGCTTGATGGGGTAACATTCTGGGTGATTACTGAAGTTGTGTCGTAAAAACTTTTTGCATCAAAAGTTTTCACCAAATCATAATTATAGACACTTTACATGGTTTAGGTGTGATGATCTTTTCCGATAAGCGGTTTGATGGAATGGGACGTCTTTGAAGGATCAATGTGAGTTTGTGTTTTACTTGTAATTGCATTATCACAAAAAATAGGCCCGATTATCTTGAAAATTATTCATTGAATGCCTTGAGAAAATTATACAAGTTCTTTGTGGATATACAACTCTGCCTGATCAAGCATTGCATATTTTCAATAATGGTATTTTTTCGAATTTCACACCACAATTTTGTCACTTTATATTTTTAAATTAAAAATTTGTCAATTCTGATACCGAATATATACAATCAGTGGTTCGAATTTAAAGCTTTTAAAGCAGATCTTAATTCATTTAGTCTAATAGAAACTAAAAAACTTGAAGCTAGAAAATTTCTGCTGTTTCTTATGAGTACTTATATTCTCTAATCGCATTCTGCAAAAATCGAATTTCTTGTAATCTAATTTTATTTGATTTTAAAACATTTTGTTTCAAACGGTTGAAAATCCTCACTTGATTTATGAATCTGTCTATTATTGTAAAATAAGCATAAATTTAGTATTAAGACAATCATTTAATATGATTTTAAATGTGGTAACCAATTTCATATTTTAACGCCCTACGGTATACAATATTCTTTATTTTTGCACCGGCAGCGTAAGTCATCGCTCATCAAATGAGTGAAGTCCACATTATTCAAATAAGTCGAAGAATAAATCTAAAAAAAATGTTAAAATCTAAATTAAGAAACTGACATGCGAATTCTAGAAGTGTAAAATTGGTATTAACTGATTGGTAGAATGTCTGTGGCATAACAAGTTTTACGGTGTCAAAAGATCCTTTCCAAAATAATGTTTATAGATAGTTATACGAGGTAGTTGTACTTTTAATACTTTATTCGTTGGGCGATACTTATTGAAACATCAAATAGTCAAGTTTATAACAATGGTTCAATCAACTTTGGTAATACATATTGTGTTTCATTTTGATGTAAAACTTTTTTGCAAAAAAACAAATTTTTTCCTTTTTTCAGTCAAAAAAATTTTTTTTCCGTGATTCGCAACATTTTTGTAGTTTAAGAAGAGATATATTATGTTCGAGGACATTACCAACCGGCTGGAACAACTGCTTTTGTTTTTTTCAGCTTTAAGTTTTTAAAGTTCATTTACGATTAGAGTGAAGAAAATGAAGGAAGCAGAAGCTGTAGCTTATAGTTGGTGCATCTGAAGGACCGATGTAATAAACTCCATCCATTAACCCATGACTTTCGAACATAGCTTCCGAACAAAGTTCCCATCTTTTCTATTCAAGCTCAATCTTTCACTTTCGTTCATTTCTTTGATCACGATTATAACACATGTATGTTTCAATCTGCTTGTTTCAGTTATGCTACAATAAACGGAATACATCTCAATTACACTAAAATGATCTTCTTCCTTATTTCACTATTTTTATTCTATTTCGCTTTTACTGTTCTCTTCTTAAGAGATGGCTTCATATTTCGATAAATACCAAAATTGCTTCTCCACTTTCCACGCATCTTAACTTCTCACATTATGATGGCCAGAGTTAATCATACATATATCTACAGTATTTAGGTAAATCAAAATTAATTTTTTCTCGAATTTTTATACAAAATGTTGAAATGATGAAGTAAGCTTACAGAAAATTATTGAAAATTACATGAACCTGAAATAGCCAGTGCCATCTGTAATATGCTTCTTTCTGTTTCAGAATCCTTACTTTTTTATAGGACCTTTTTTGTTATCATTTATTAGTATAGTATAGAAAGCTGTGGATCAAACTTATTCTAAATGTTTCATACGTATGACAGGAATAAAGTTCTTTTAGAAAGTTTTTGACGTGTAAAGTAACACGTGATGAATAGCAGTATAGAAATATGATGAATTATAATTTGATGAAAAATACGTTGTAGTTTCCTTCCAAATGCGCCAGTTGTATTGATTTTTTCTTTTTTTATTTTTTCGTTAACTAAAGCATGCATCTAAATTTCTAGTTTTATCAATGCAGGTAATTGTAAACTGGATAACTGATTAATTATTTGAAGAATTTAAAGTTGAGTGAATCACCCTTATGTTCTACTATTTACAAAACCTCTCATTTAACAATTTTTTTACAATATCACATATTAAGATTACATACTTTCCATTATATTTAATATTTATGTTTTCATTTTCAATAGGAAAGTTAAGAATGAATGAGATGATAATGTCTGTAGAAAGGTTTATAGATGAAGGAACAAACTTTCCCTCTTCTTGCCATATGATCGCCCCATAAGACATATTTTAATGTGATGGCATGACTATTCTTGTCACATGCATTAACTGTCACAAAAAAGTTTATCATTATAATTGCCAAATCATTTCGTTTGATCTATCCATCATTCGCGGGTTGAATCGATTTAACTGAACTCAGTTTCAATTTTCTATAAGGCAAAAATTTTAATTAATAATCTGAAACAAAGTAATAATACTTTAATATTACATCAATATATTATGATCTATTGATAAGCGTATATACGTGCATGGGTTAATGCATGATCGTGCAACTAAAAGTAAATATCGGCATAAATCGGTATTTTGTACAATTTACGTTCTTTTTAGAATGATTGTCTGCCATTAAAAAGTGCTTTGCTTAGTCATAGAAACTTCTCGATCAATTGATTGATGCATTCAGTGCACAGTTATTAAAGATAATTCCCTTAAAATTGGATGTTCATTTAAATCTAATTGATTTTACACATAGAAATAATAACTAAAAGAAGCAGCCAAATGGTTTAATTTTAGAAATATTTTCTCAACTTTAACTTTTTTCTAGTATTAATTAACATCAATATTTGAACCGATGTTTAATACAGTTGTTGTAATTTTTAGTAGAATCACTTAAATAAGAAGCCTAAAGCTTCGATGATGAAATCTAAGGTGAAAGTTGATTGGGCTTAGATTCTGTCTTGCTTCAATCTCTTGAAAATTCTAAAATTTTTTGGCACATTATTTTAATATTGACTTCATCCTTTCATTGTTATTGTATAAAAGAGCCAAGTAATGAAATGAGAAATATAAGTATTAATATGATTATGAAGTTAAAATATAAATATCGTGTAGTTATTTATTGCAGCTTATTTCTGTCGTTGATATGACTTCGTCTCCCTGAATATATTTCAAAGAAACTCACAGTTTCATCATTTCGTTCATTCTGTTTAATCTATACGTATTTTAGGCTATCTATTATCACTATACGATAAAAATTCTTTCAGCTTGTTTGAAATTTCTTTTTGCCTAAGTTTTTATCTATAATTCATTACCAGAATTATATGTTCAAATGAATTAAATTAAAAGAAAAATGAATTAGGATTGACATGAAGCTTTGTACTCATAGAGAAACTATATTCAAGTACTATTTCCACTGAAAATAATAAATCCTTTTTTCCCATTTATTTTCTTCTTTTTTAAAATTATTTCTTAAAACTGAAAATTAGTAAATTTTTCTTTCGAAAGAATCTTACGGAATTTAAATTATAATAAGAGTATTAATTCTACAAAATAATTTTTTACGTTTTCTTTTGAGGTACGATCAAACGGAGCGAAATATTTATTGTGACAATTATTGTGCTTCCTGCATATCTGTGCTGAATAATAATAGTTTTTGAAAAGATCTTGTCTTCAAATCTCTTCGAAGTATTATCGCTTTTCGAATAGTTACTTTCTGTATTATGGTCATATGCTTTCCCCAAATGGCACGCTCCAAATTCAAGATACAAATGAATTTTTCTGTCAAGGCCGAGATGTTTATTCACAAAAAGCATTTTATCCAGGAAAATTTCAAAATTTTCCAAAACCATGAATTACATTAATTCATTTTTCAAACACATTTCTTTATAATTCTCTAATTGCAAAATTGTTTTATTTCTAGTGCAGTCACTACACTAAATTTAATGGAATTAGTGAAGTGTTTTAAAAAAATTCATCGGAAAAGTAGATGCAAAATGATTTTCTTTTTAGTCGTTGATATGCAGTGCGCAATAAGGTCAGATTTGTCGAAGGATTGGCTACAAGGTAAATTTTTGTTCATTTTAGAAAATAGGTTATAACATTCTGCTTGTATGCTATTCTAATATCGAAATCCAAAAATGAGGACTTGGAACTAATAAGTTCAGAAATGAGCTCAATTGAAAACGTGAATTGAAAATCATTTGCTTGCTTAGTAGATTCATATTATTCAACCCTTGAAATTTCAGCAATTGAGGTTATTGAGGTTTTTTATCCCTGCAGAACAATTATAAATTAAATTCCAAATTAAAACAACCTCCAATCTTATTTTTGCTATTACATATTCAACAAAAAAGTTATTAATTAATAATGCTATTACTTTATTTTTCAATTATTCACTTTTCGCTCTATTCCTGCTTTATCTCTTTATAAAAACTTCATTTATCTCAAAAGATAATTTCTTCTTTATATTCTGATTTCACAACAACGTCAGAACTTTCATTTTTTAATTTTTTTCATTTTAATATCTCTCAAGAAACTTTTTTTTTGATTTCACATTTATTGTAGTAAAATAGTTTGGTAGTGGATATACAACAGGAGGTCTAGATTTACAATTTACCTTTTTCCGCAGATGAGGGAAATTGAAATGAAGCAGTTATTTGAACGATAGTTTTAGGTAGCAGAACGAAATTTGGATGGTACCAACAGATATAAAGCTAATGCAAAATTATTTTATAATGTAGACTAACTACTATGAATGAATGACAAGATCTGAGATGAAAATATGAATAAATGAAATTCTGAGGGTTATAGAGTTGAAAATGAAATCAAGAGAAGTCACTGAGATAATGGTGTTTTATATACAGTTTATTATTTACCATCGGCAAATATTATTATACTAATACAACTAAAAAAGAGAATATTTTTAAGATGATCCACAATCAGTTGATTCTGGTCCATCATCATCAACGTTATGTTCAACCGTATGCCGCCGTGCGGCATCATTTCCAGTTGTTAGTGGGCATCATCCAGCGTCATCTCTATTGAGAGTTAGTGGATGTTTTTGATGCTTATTAATTATTTCAATTTTAACTATAGAAATAAAATCTCGGAGAATTTAATTAACAATTATACAGGAAAAATTATCAATATAGATATAATTAAATCGATCAATGACAGCTTTCGATATCGCTTTCAAGATTGTCTATTTATCCATCATAGTAGCAATTCCTTTAATTCATTCCTTGTTGACGTTTAGAAGTGTTCGTTCTTATATCCTTGTTGACGAAAACGCACGCGCTGTTATTGACACCTGTGAGAATTTATCTTATCGATTATCACATCACTTACCCACCTACCGTCAAAAAGAGTTGAAATTCTAAATTTTCATAAATTATTTATAGGTGCGTTCACAGAGTGAATCAGATGCACTCAATCGATTAGGCCTTATCCATTCACGAACTACACTTGTAGAGCAATTGAAAAAGCGTCAGCTTGTACCAATTACATTAGAAAAATCACTTGACAATGCAGGTAAAAAACACTTTATCATTAATTTTGAAAGACTTTGAGTTTAAAATGTGTGGAAACCAAAAATAAACATACCCATCCAGTATAACTTCCCGATTGGATAAAAAATTCTTGTATGCTTTCTGGATATTATAATTTTGAGTTTTAGATTCAATATCCCAAAGGAAATCACAAACAAACTTGGGCGGCAACAATTGTGCCGATAATAATGTCGGCGATTTTGATCATTTATCAGTGATTGTTGAAAATGTAGCTGTTAAAACAGCGAAGATTTCTATTAGATCATACAAAAGCGTACGCTTTGCCGACGATTGCGGCAAAGATCTAACCACCGTGCGTGTAATGACCGAACCTTCAGATTATCCACCTACCATTAATGAGTCGGTATGTTTCTTTTATTCATATTACTTCGTTCGTCCACTCAATTTTTTCATAAATTTTAAAATGACTTTTAGTTTAACAAAAAATCCCTAGCCTATTCCTGGCAATAATTGTTAAGTAGCAATAATTATTCTACCGATGAATTATACAAATATTACACAAATTATGGGCAATTAATTCTTTAGTTTTATAAGGACAACGGTAATTAAGAAAGTTGCGTGAAATTACTTTACCTCTTCTGGCTTTGGGATGAATTTCGAAGAGAGGATAATGAACAGAGATGAAGGCTTATTTAGTACCATCAGTCAATAATCCCACTTGCAAATACATGTTCAGGTAATTCGTCGATTACTGGGGAAAACAGACGAGGACGAGAAATGCCATCAGAAATCCGCTTCATGGATTTTATCATTCAAGCAACCAGCTAGTGAATACGTTAAGTTTCGTGAAACCCTAGAGGGAAGATTTGTTGCATTGGAAAATGTTGTCCTTAAAAATGAGATATGCCATATGATTGGCACCGTTAAGGTATTCTTTTTTGAATTTTTATCTGTTTTCACTGGGAATTTCGTTAGTAATGCTGATTTCGAAAGTTATTTAATTTAAGAAGATGAGAAGTTCCGATTGTTCTGCCATCTTTCTGTAGCAGTAATCAAAACTTTTAATTAGAGTATATTATTCCGTAATTCGTTTCCTTTAGGTTAAAAATATAACATATGAGAAGAAAGTTTTTATACGTTTCACATCGGATGGATGGAGAAGTTTTTTGGATCGTATGGCAACTTATCAACCATCATCGTCCAAATTTTATGATACGTTTGGTTTTGATATCGAATTGCCTACAAATGGCTGCGATCCAAATGCACGAATTGAATTTTGCATTTGCTTTGAAGTCGGGTCTTCTCAAGGTAGTTAAATTTTACATAAATTTTTATGCAAGTTGATAAGAAGCAAATATAATAAAAGATGAAACAATGTGTTTTGAAAAACTTACAGATTTCAGTGGTGTCTTTGCTGATGAATGTTTTATGCTTTGAGCATTTCTAAAATACGATGGCATTAAAGTGTGAAATGTCACTTAAAAAATACTATCGATTACATTTGACATTCATAGGACTATGAAAAAAGACAAGGCGAATTGATTCTATTTTTATTTTATATAGTAGTGCTTTTTTGATCGCGATCAAATTAATTCCGTTAATGAAATTGCAGGTGATACAAAACAACAGCAATACTGGGATTCGAATAATGGTCGAAATTATGTGCTAATAAGCCAAAAACCGCCAGCTCCCACCCCATCATTTCCTATACCATTATCATCAGCGAAACATGATCACGGTGATGCATATACATGTGAATTTGATGATTGGACTAAATTTGCAGCGTGGAGAAATTTACCAACTGAGGGTCCATATTGGTAGAATTTTATAACAGAAAAGACAATGTCAGTAATTAATATTTACAAAAATAAAACATAAGAATTTGCCGAAATATGATTTTTTTTCTTTTGCCTTTTGCAAACATTGTTTTAATTCATAGCGCCTGTTGTGATACAGTTCATTCAATACAGACTGTTTTTACTAGAATCACCAGTGAACTTGGATAAAACATATGAGTCGGGAATTAGTTATAGCTTAGTTCTTATAATTGAACTCTTTTTATTTTTGAATTCCTTTTTCATCTTTTTTTTGTGTACCAAATGAATTACTGCTTCCAGCTAATAATTTCCAATTCATGCGAGGTTTTACTGGTATATATTCCATTTATTTTCGCTTTTTCAATAATAATAGTGGTGATAGGTGATGATTTCTCTCTTTATTCACTCTGTACAGCTTTATGTTATATTATCACCAATTCAATACTACTATTTCATTCTCATTTCTAACATTAGTATTTATATCATTTGAAAGAATTGCACTATTATTCGGAACAAATGAAAGAAATAGCATGAATTAAACAACGAGAAATGTCTTTTCGATTGTTAAAATATTGGGATTTTTTTTTAAAAAAATTCTGGTCTAGTTTGATTATCTTAAGATTCTTTTTGTTCTTATTCCTTACGGGTAATTATTAAATTTGATAATTAGTTAAAATACTTCGGGATGATGGGGTACACTTCAGATCTCCTGACCCCTAATGTGCTGCTGATGATGAAACCTTACATCAGCGCATGATTATAATAAAATGTTTCACCCTTTTGAAATCTAAAATTTCTCTCTATAAAAGCTTTTTATAATTTTTCGCTTCTGATAAATATGCATTTCTGAGCCAAAAAAAGTCAGTCAATAAACTAATGAGAGTATTTTGACGTAAAATGCTCGAATCCATGTATATGTGTTCATATATTGTTTACAGTGTTTATATGTTATCGGAAATAGGTTGAAATTTTACAAACACTATAAGAAATGTGTTAGTGTTGACTGGACAGGCAAAAAGATCCTTTGCGTGTGAATTACTATTCAACACCAAGGTTCTAATAAACTTGTAGCATATCACATGTGCCGATGAAACGATAAGATCAGAGCTCAACATACCCCTTTTTTTACAATTGAACTTGCACCACATGTGATGGGGAAAGCGAAATAGTACAGAATAAGTGAAATAAATGCGGTGGGAATGAACATAGACGAGATAAGGTAAATATATTTCAATTCCAAAAGGTATAAAGGAAGAGGTTAAAGTAAGGTTAATGGCGGAGGAAAACCATCTAAAGATTTATCTTCCGTTATTCTTTCCAATAAGCCTTTAAATCCCGTTGGAAGGTAACCATCAGGAAAGTATAACGGAATAACTTTAGTGCTATTAAGTTGATAAAATTAACATTATAAAAAGCCAATTACCGCTATATCTTTATTTTTGATCCCTGAAAATTTCCAAAACGTACTGCTATTTTAGTTGCCCTCTCTTATTCGAAAGTTAATTATTTATTCTAAAAGATCTAATCCCATATTTTGCTGTTAACAATTTGCATCACCAGTATTGTTAGATGTACTATGTGGCGCCGATTTTCATCGTTCATCTATTTTGATGATACTGACAGATTGATGCATGTCACGCAAATAATAGAAATCAAACACAAGTCGAAATATGAAAAACAATAATGAAGACTTTGTAGAAATTGTTATCATTGCTAAAATTTAACTAATAGGAATAAAATGTTGGCATTTTTACCTGTCGCTAGACAAGTTTTTATGACAGCCCATGGAATGCTGTTAATTTTGACAGTTCAAGGATGTTAGAAATTGCAAGTTTCTTTTTGATATCATCAGTTTCTGGAGGTTTTCATGCCTCAGATAGAAAAAAATCTTCATATAAAAGATACGTTTTTGCTAAAACAAAATTCAGATTATTGCCTCCTTTCAATAATCCTAATCTTCCTGGTACTACAACAAACGCAATGATTATGAATTTTTGCGTTGCAAGTTCGTGGAAGTTCATGTGAAGTTATTATAAACTATTGTTATAAAAAATACTGAAATTATCTCGCTATTGCCTGTGCAATATGCAATAAGCTTTATTTTGATTTCGCCTGACTTTTTTTTATCAAGAATCTAAAGTCTAATTATATTTATCATGTCAAGTACTTTGAACACAAAGATAAAATTTAATTTTTTCCGGAAGTGATTTCATGGTTTTATAAACTTTGCTCAATAAGGCAATTTGTTTGGTTTACAGGGCACCACAAAAGTAAAGTTTTTCTCTCTTCTTTTTTGAGCTTGGAAAAGGTTAAACATAACATATTCGGTTTGTTCGATGTGAATTCCATTTGCAGTTTGAGAAAGGCAACGTCTGTCTTACCTTAACGTATAACTTCAAATTCTCTAAGACTTAAAATGATATAAATATATGTTTCCCTTTTGATTAGGTTCATTAAGGTAATTAGTATACAGGAATAATTATGATTTCAACCAAATTAGCCAATTAAATTTTATTATAACTTCGCTTCATGCATTGGTGATTACAGTAAGGATTATTGCAAAAGTTCACTTTAAATAGTTTTGTAAATTCCATACACCAATGGAACTGCAAAAAAATAAATCAACAATGAAAATAAAGATCGAAGAAAATTTTAGCGTTAGGGTGATTGGTATCTTCAGGAAGAATGTGTAATGAATGTAGTTGTAACCTCTTCAATCTCTGCAAATGTAAAATTGCCTCTTTAACTTATAGGTATCACTCTCAGCTGATTCCAAACATTTCACAACTTTTGTTTTCTTTTTCTGAATCTTGTTATTACTTCTACCTTTTTTCTCAACAATATTCTAGAACATGTTCTTTTCAATTTTTCAAACGACTATGTCAAATTTTTCAGGAATGCGCTTCAAGTTTATTGCAGCTTAAAATATAAAGTTTCAAACTTCTTGTATTTATTAAATGAAATAACACCGAGCTTTAATTAATATCATTACCGAAAAAGTGCTAGGAAATATGCTTTTCATAAAAAGAATATCAAAAAAACAAAAAACAAAATTGATATCAAAATGAGAGAGGAAAAACAACTTAAGGTGCAGTTTAATGGCAACAGTATGAAAGAGATGTGCTTGTTAACTAAACCTATTCCATTATAGCTTAGGCTCTATCTTCATCGTTCAAAGGCCTTTTTGAGCCAGTTACTCTCTTGCCTTGTCGGCCTCTTTAGTTTTACTATCTCTTTTTTTGTCCCAAATTTCATTCTATGATGTGATATTTATTATTTTGATTTATTAACATAATTTTAAATTTAGTTGTTTGCAAAATTTAGACATTATTGATTTGACTGACAATCTTGAAATTCTAATGCTTTATTATTAAATTGCATATTAAAAAAAGATGCAAATCTTGTAAAATTGAAATTGCTGTCAGATTTTTTCAAATAAATTGTTTCTGTGGTCGGTATAGTGGCAATGAATTATAATTTAATAGGATAAAAAAATATACATTGTGAAATATTCATCACGTAGTTTCTTGTTTTAAAAGTGATGATGATATTGTTAGCACAACATTTTGATCAAATGATTCACCATTTTTATCCTTATCTTATCCGGGATTTTCATTTCTTTTTATCTTGTTTTAAATTCTGTAATGTTTGTGCGCGAATGAAATGTTGATGTTTGGTGAAATTTTAGCATTCTTTCGGTTCTATGACCATTTTTTGTTTTGGAATGTTTTTTTTTCTTCAATAAAATGATATTTAACTATCCATTTTGCAATCTTTCCGTCGAAACATGATGATAAGACAAATTGATATTTTATCACCACCGCATACTTTTTGTTGTCTGTTTTTTTTTTAAATCATATTTCTAATCTGACCTGCAAATGATGAATTTCCTGATAGACGTTGTGCATAATTTTTTGAATCACACTTCAACAATTATTCTTTTGTTCTATTCATACACTCTGATTAATGCTAAACATCATTTCATCACATTAGGTTTATTTTATTTTATTTCCTTCTATAGCTTGAATTGAAATTTTTATTTCCAAAGCATAACATTTTTCTGGAATGTTGAAATTTGCTGAAAAATTTAAATAAATATTTTATAATATGTGGTCAAATATTTTTCCTAAAAATAAATTTGCAAAATATTTCCGAATTATGAGCAGTGATGTCATTATGAGCGAAAGCATCACTTTACAGATATAACAATTGATAAGAGTTAGTTTTTATGGAATACTAATCTTCTATCCATTATCATTAAAATGGAACACTAAAAATGCGATGATATGATTTTTCAGTGTAAGAAAATTTTTCACTCATTTGATAAAATGAAATTCGCAGATAAATATAAATAGGATTTTTCCGGTGTTGTAAGAATCCAATTCCAAATGACAAATTTTCTGTCTATTCTTTTACAAGGTATGCCTAGA